TGGTTTTATAAATGTCAAAAATGTAGGCCTTTTAATAAACCCAAAATGTGGGCTTGGAATTTTTATTATTTAATATAGAGAATAGATTGAGTTTATTTTTCTTGAAAAGATTGAAAACTTGAATCTTTAAAACTTTAACATGATTAATAGTGGGAACTGTATTGCTGCTATTTCTTTTTTTCTTACCTAGGTGGGAGAAGTATTGATCTTTTTTTTAATACGATAAAAAAGTTGGAGCAAATCACTTCAGTTTTAGTTTTCAACACTTGATCTATTTAATATGAAGATTATAGTCGACAGTGTAAATCAATGTCAGCAAATGATGTTGCTGAAAGTAGCTGAAAAGCCTTCTGCTCAGCTCCCGTGTCCTCTCATCCACAACAAAATGGTGTTTTGTATCAGCACTTATAAATGATATAATAGATCGGCTACTGTCCTCTACATCTGTTACCAGTTGGAGAGTGACAAGTTGATTTATGGACTTGGAGAAACCGTTATGAATTAATTAGATGGATAAGATGCACTTCTCAAGGTCATTGTCCAGAGACTCCTGCTCACTGACTGTAAATCTGATGAACATGCACAGGATATGAATCAACAAACAACAAATTACCATCCAATGAACAATGTTATAATGTCATGTATGCTTTATATTTATTGATGGTCTTTAAAATTAGCTGTCAGTTTACCAGGGGCTTTAAAAGTTGCCTCAATAGACACGACGGGAGTTTCCAAATTATGATTAGAAACATAATTAAACATACAGTAATGAGGCAAAACCAGAGAGGAAGACTGTCAATATAAAGGCCTTAACTGAAAGATGATCATGTTAGATTAAATTAGAGTTTTATAATTATTATTACCCAGTTTTAATTACATCTGGTACACAGACTGTTTGCATCTCATCCTGTTTTCTATTTGGTCAACACTTCGGAATGTTTGGGGCCTTGAATTAGCTTCATGGCAGATTACACACACACGTCTTTCTATATTTGGTTTTATAAAAAGCAAATAACCATGTTTTCATGTTTGTCATACTGTGGTAGTCGTGCTTGGTAATCTTAGAGTTGTTTAGTGCATGCCTGAAATGTAAATATCATACCAGCTTTCTTTAAATCTCCTGACAGTCAGGGAATTAACAGTGTACAAAAAAGTGTTTTTAATTGAATAACATTAAGAATCTGATTACCCTGGGCTCATGTGACTCAAATGAATCAACATTCAGGATGCACAAAGAGGTCTTCTCAGTGCTGTATTTGTTCGACCCATCCATCCAGACAGCCCTCTTCCCTGCACTGATTTGCAATATCATTGACAATGCAATTATGTTGTATGGGAAGACAATTTTGTTCTCCACCGAATCCCAAGAAAATTGATCTGGTTCTTTTGCCGCTGAATGTTTTATCATAAGTCAACTGTGTCTGTCTGCTGTTTAAAGCTGAGCGAGTAGTGTACAGGGTTTTTAGAGCTGGAACCAGCGACCTTCTGCAGCTGAAAACTGCACCATGAAGAGATGACACTGAACCATAACAGTGACGTTGTTGGCTGGAAAACCACAACAGTTGGCAAAAAGATGCAATAAAGCGCTTTCGAGCTGAGGAAAGCTGCACATAATCAGTAAAAAATCTCTGTAGCTTCAGAGGATCCAGAAGTGTGCTTCAATTGGTAAATCCCATTAGTAGACGCTTCTCCTATTTTGTGAACCAGAAGGCCAGATTTAATTTAGTCCCAAAATGATTCTGTCACCTGTACTCACCACCAATTTCTTTCAGCCGAACAGAACCACGAGCGAATGTGGAGATACAGTTGATTGGTCACAGGAAACGAAGAACTTCCACTTTGTTCAGCAAAATGCCTGTGACTCCTTCCTGCAGAGCCCATTAGCTCTCTGATCAGAAGGAGTAATGGAGGACAGGCTGTTTAAAAGAGGCAGCCTGTAGTTTGCCGCATTCATTGATGATACTGAACGCGCTCATGCTGTGTGAAACACCCGTAGTGACCCAGCGGGAAGCTCAGGGGGAGAAACTATTTAGCCAGCTCAGCGTGTACGTGTATACCCATTACATCCAATTTGCAAACAGGTATTGGGATTTGATGCTGTCGTTAGAGCAAGGCAATTTAATTTTACTGCACAGTGTGCCTCAAGTATCAGTTTATTGTCTCAAATTATACCTTTGTCGAGCTTCTGCATCTCAGTTTCTATAATGTGATGTCGCTTTCATTTGTACTTTATTTCATTTTTTGAGTCATAACGAGCCGACAATATCTCCAGCAGGATTCTAAAGAAAATCATTTGAGAAATTGGCCGTTTTATCTTATAGCATGCTACAGTAGCATGTGAGTAATTGCAAAGCTTGTTTCTATTCAAACAGAAAATACCAGTCTTATATTTACTTGTGGCATTGTGAGATGAAACCTTTATAAAACATTGATGACATTTTTGTTAGGAACTGGAAATAGATTAGAAAGATGGCAAAAGCAGTTTCAGAAACAGGGGTGGACTTACTATCCCTCACACTTTGAATGTCTAGGGTGCGGCCTGATGAAAGAAAATGCCAGACCAGAGGCTTTCCTTTCAAATGATCAGAGAATAATACCACCACAAGAAAGTTGTAGATGTTCACAAAGTGGTTGATATCAAAGAGGCCTGAACCAATGTTTAATTTTATCCACTCCTGGCATTGTGACAAAACTTTAATAATCCCTGTGATGACATTCTCTACGATCATATCAATCATCAAACCTCAATAAAAAAGTGCAAATTCAAGTCATTAGATGAATGAGAGATCCTTGAAGGTAGAAATATTTGGAGGCTACTTCTGAATGAAGGCTGTGTGGTCACGCTATGAAACTTATCCCAGCCACTGCAACTCGGCCTTGAAAGAAAACTCTCCCTGGTAAATTTTTCAGACTGCATAATTCTCTGGTGGTCTGAAAGACATCTTTTGAGTAGGCTCAGGAGGTGGGGAAAGATGAGTAGTTCTTCAGAGGGGGGGCTAGGTGCTGCCCCGGTGGCTGCCGGCCTGCTGGCACAGATCTGGGAGGTGTAGGTGTCAGCTTGTCAGCTGTCCTTTCTGTCTCGCTTTCTGCTGCTTAGCTGGCACAGTGGGAGGTTTGAAGAGATCAAATATCCACTTTTGTGACATTGCCTTGAACCGCTATCCCAATTTGACCCCACATGTTAGCCAACGTGTGCATCCTGCTTCAATCGTTCTATGCTCAGGTTCATGCTGTAACAACAAATATCTGTTACGTTTTAACACACTTCCTATTTCTTATTTTATTGTATCATAGCTCAGAGTTGACATAAAATCAGGTATATTGCATAACATTTCTGTCTTCTAGAAGTCTCACATATTTGACAACAAAACAAGTCATTATTCCTCTGGAACAACACAGAGGCATTGTCTTATATGATGCCACTATAAAATATCTATTTTCTGTGTCTTTCATAACTGTTACAAATTCCTGTTTTATATATCTATTTTATGAAGTGACAATGCTTTGGTTATGCTACAGAGTTGGTTTGGTAACTTCGTTTCAAAGCAGTTCATAAAAAGACTTTGTTTCTGTCAATGTCTGTATGTGGCCTTCAGCTGCATTTAATCAGCTTTACTATGGCCACCCACTTTAAAGAATAAGTAGGTAGGCTATGTATTAATAGTTGGTTCTTCAAATATTTGACATTGAAGAGCAAAACAATATTTCTCCTGAAGCATACCAACACACTGAGGAGTATTAACTTGAGTTTTGAATATCAGGAACATGCAAAGAAGTACAGATAATGTTAAACTTAAAGGGGACCTATCATGCAAAATGCACCTTTGTACGTCTTTTATACATGAATATGTGTCCCTGGTGTGTCAGGGAACTCACCAAGTGTCAGAAAACACAACCCTCTCTCTTTTCCTCCATACCCAAAATCTCTAAAAACGGGGCTACAACGGATCTGATACAGACTGATCCGGATTTGAAAATAGTCTGACGTCAGTGACGAGGAGTTCCGCCTATATGGCCAACTCTCCATCAGGGGAATGAGTGGAATGGTAACAGCATGGTAACAGCATGGTAACATGACGCTCGTAACTCGGCCCCCTCCTTTGCAGGCGGGCGTGGTCAGCTGCAGCGCATGCAAAGACAGGGGTGGAGGAGAGCAAAATAGAGCGAAATGAGGCATGGCTAAAATGCATGATCTGTTTGGTATTTTGAAAAAGAAAACGTATAAATATACCTTATATAGGTATGGCCCTACAATATATTATTCAAATATAGCAGCCCTCCCTTCCTCTGACTCGTTCCAACTTCTGCCTCCAAACTCTGCTGCAGAAACTCTACTCTCTACTCTTTCATCCTCTCTGCATCCTCTCTGTCCTCTCACATCTCAGCAAGCTCGTCAGTCCCCTCCTGCTCCCTGGCTAAATGACGCACTGCGTGCTAATAGAACCATCCTTCGGGCAGCAGAGCGGAAACGGTGGAAATCCAAACACCATGACGACCTCCTAACCTATCAGGCTCTCCTCTCCTCTTTCTCTGCTTCGATCTCTCAGACAAAAAGCACTTTATTTCAAGATAAGATCCAATCTTCCTATTCCAATCCCAAAAAACTATTTTCTATCTTCTCCACCCTCTTGGACCCCCCCTTCCCCCTCCCCCTCCTCCCTTCTGTCAAGCGACTTTGTTAACCACTTTGAAAAAAAGGTTTGATGATATTCGCTCTTCTTTTTCTGACTCACCTTTACTCACCGCTGGGTCACCAGACCCTCCCTTCACCCTCACACTAACCTCCTTCTCCCCTCTCTCTCCAAGTGAGGTTCTTACCCTCGTGACCTCTGCCCGTCCTACCACCTGTCCTCTGGACCCTATCCCTTCAAACCTCCTTCAGACTATTGCTCCTGATATTCTACAGTTTCTCACCCAACACTTCTCTAACTTCTGGTCACTTTCCAAACAGTCTCAAGGAGGCAAGAGTAAACCCTCTCCTCAAGAAACCCACTCTCAACCCGTATGATGTTATAAACTACAGGCCTGTCTCTCTCCTCCTGTTCCTGTCTAAAACACTTGAGCGCGCTGTCTTTAAACAACTCTCCTGTTATCTCCATCAGAACAACCTTCTGGATCCGCACCAGTCTGGTTTCAAGGCAGGTCACTCAACAGAAACTGCCCTCCTTGCTGTCTCTGAGGAACTGCACACTGCTAAAGCAGCCTCCCTCTCCTCTGTCATCATCCTTCTGGACCTGTCTGCTGCATTCGACACGGTGAATCATCAGATCCTCCATAGCACTCTCCAAGAACTTGGAGTTTCAGGCTCTGCACTTTCCCTCCTCACCTCATACCTCAAAGACCGTAACTACAGGGTTACTTGGAGAGGGTCCGAGTCCGACCCTTGTCAGTTAACTACAGGGGTCCCTCGGGCCTGTCTTGGTCCCCTCCTAGGGCTCTGTTCTTGGTCCCCTCCTCTTCTCCTTGTACACAAACTCGCTCGGATCTTTCATTAGCCCGCATGGTTTTTCATACCACTGCTACGCTGACGACACCCAACTAATTCTGTCCTTTCCTCGCTCAGAGACCCAGGTCGTCGCATGCATCTCTGCTTGTCTAGCTGACATCTCTCAGTGGATGTCTGCTCACCACCTCAAGCTCAACCTTGACAAGACTGAACTGCTTTTCCTTCCGGGAAAAGAATGTCCCACTCTTGACCTAACAATCAATATCGGCACCTCTATTGTTTCCCCGACTCAGACTGCAAGGAATCTGGGTGTGATCCTAGATAACAACCTGTCCTTCACTGTAGGGCTGAGCGATATATCGAGTTTACACGATACATCGTGGATTGCACTACATGCGATGTCGTAAATGACCACATCGTGAACATCGAGTATTATGTTGTGAAATCAATTTCCCGCCGCGGCCAAAATGAGCTTTCCGTTCTCCCTCATAGACACAGTCATACACGCAGGCACACACGCAGGCGCCGTCTAACTTGCACACAAACATTACACACATGCACAGTGACAGAGAGCAGGGCTCGACATTATAAATGGCCCGCTGGCTCGGAAGCACTATTTAGACACCCCGGGCCAGCATAACGTACTTTCCACTTGCCCGCTCGGGCCACTAAAAATATTACTTTAAAAAAAAAAAAATGGTCCTGTGGTATAGGTATTTTGACAAGCAATGTTGTTAAATTGTTTCGTTTATTAACGCTACAACATAGTGTTTCGTGAGGCGGTTGTCGTTGTTGGGTGAAAAGCAAACAGCTGTTTACTGCGGAGCCAGCGCGAGCAGGCTCCCGTTTGCCCGTGAGCGCCGGGCAAAAAACTATCTTCAAATAAAAGAAAGTCACCGGAGGAGTTAAAGGAGAGTGACAGGTAGCATGAGAAGAAGAGGGAGAGAAAGTTTCAGCTAGCTTGATCGATGGAGTTGTTTTCTAGTGGTGCAGTGACGCGTCCTAAAACCCT